ATGGATTATAAAGGTAAACTCACGAGAGCCAAACTGCTAGTGAGAATCATGATAATGACGGCGGTTTCGAAGTACTTGTTCTCGATGAGCTGGAAAGTCTTGAGCCTGAGGTTTGCCCAGCTCTGCCAAAACGGGGCGTCGTCGTCGCCGGCGAGGAACGGGAAGCGCTTGTAACAATTGTCCGGACAACAATCGGCCGGGTAGTCGTCCAGCTCCTCGTCCGTTCTTATCACACCCCCGGGTATACCCCCCTCGCCCTCGTCCTCTTCCTCCTCGTCCTCGTCACCCTCATCGTCCTCGTCGTCCAACTCTGGAATTGAAAACAATTATTATTTTTTTTCTTTTTTCATCTCCATTCTGGTCCAAAAGTGGTCTGTTTGATTTTCATCAGTATTATCAGGGTAAACTTGGATTTGGCGTGAACGAACCATCTTCTAGGTCTTCTTTGCTCGCATCCTTCTTCTCCTCACCGTCTAAAGAGTCTATACTGCCTTTGTGACTCTCTTTGAACGAACGATTTTTATGGCTGCCGTACGATTTATTACTGTATCAACGACAAAACGATATTTTTCAACGATTACAAATCAGTGGTATTTTCTCATTGAAAATAAGTGAAATAAAAAAAAAATAAAAAAAATGACGAACCTAATGGTGTCGTCTTCGTTGTGAATGAAATCATCTAGTTTGAAGTCCCTGTGATTCATCGCGTTCACAAGGGCGTTCGTATTGTTGATGCACAAGTTTCCTCGCAATTTGTTTTTCAGGTCACCTTTTTTGGTACAAGCAACAAAGAAACCATTTGGATTCAATAAACGATAATCACAAAATTAATTTTTAAAAAATAATAAAAATTACACTCTAACAACAGTGTTGCAAAAGTTATAATTAGTCAAGTGCTCCTTTTTATCATTAAAAAAATTGTCAACTATAAGTTACAAGAACAATGGGTAATGACAATTTTGCATCAAAAATTTAAAGTCATAAGTAACAAAAGTTTCGTTACAGGACAAGTGTCTTAAAAACTATTTGCAACTCTGTTTGACAGTGTACTATTATAAATTCTAAAAAAAAATGCAATAATTCCAAAACAAGTATTGTGCCTCGAAAAAACATTTGTACGGTAAATGTTAGTCGGAAAGTCAGAAGAGGTGGAAATTTAGTTGCGAAAATGTAAACTAAATCTACGAACACAAGGCACACGCAAACAAATCGAAATCGATGAACTCAAATTTACCTCTTGTCAATATCTGGCCATTTCCAGCGGCAAACTTACCGTGTATGGTAAACTCCATACCGTCACCAATGGCAACCTCAAACTGACTGTTGAGCTCTTTGACGCTTTTTTTGTCCCGATAAGCGTCCAGCTCACCCTCGGCGAATTCCATATTCGCGTCCCGATCAATTCCATCTGCAAAGTCAAGTCGGCATATGGTTTACGTTAATTTACTCGAGTGGCAAGCACTTGGTGCCAGGATTGATCGGTAAACGCTTTACAGTTCATCCCCTCAGTTTTTTTTGTAAGTAATATAAAAAAAAAAAAAAAAAAGATTGGAAAGAATTTATCTCAGAACTCTCAATTGCGTACATTTGTTTTCTTTTTAACTCGATCAATCCGTTTTTCATCCAATTTAGATGGTAACTTTTTTTTCACGTTACACGCGAAACCAACCACTCGCAATAGAAATTTCTGATGCATCAAGCATTTTTGCGAGCGCGCTGTAGAAATAAATAGGAATAGAGGACATGACAGCTCGTGGCGTGCAAGGTTGGCTACACTAAACATGCGCACATATTGAAGATTATGTAAAAAATCGTCTTGAAATGTGGGAAATCATTATTCCTCTTCGATAAAACCAAACCTCATTTCACACACTTGATACTGTACTTTTGACATTATATTACAAGACACTTTTTTCAAAAATCACACGCTCTGTTGCTTATCAAACGAATAATTATTGTTGGATCTCTTGATGCACAATACGACGTGCAGAAAATCACACAGACAATTTTGTGATAGGAATATATATTTCTCAAGTGTTTTTACAACTTTATTTTTAATACATCAAAAATTCATATTTTTGCGCTAAAAATTATTCGAATACAAAAATAATTTTCAACTCATTTTTCACTCTGACATGCATTTTTACAATCAACAGTGTTGTAAAATTTTCATTTGTACTTCAAAATAAGAGTTTAATTATGAAACATTCATCATTTATAGCGTAAAAGTTAACTGATGAGAGAATATTACAACACTGTAATTTATTTTCGATACTTTATTTAAAATCTACCAAGCTAATCAACTAATAGCTAATCATGATTATTTACGACATACTAAACAAACTTTTTTAGATTTATTAAAAAATATTACTCATAATAAACAAACTACTCGTGTGTATAATAACGCATCTGAAATAGTTTTAGTACTGCTAGCAAATTGCGTCAACAATATTACATCCAATGCGTCCAAACCACTAAAAATGTCGGAAATAAATAGGTTGTATCATAATGATCTAGACTCACGCAACAATGAAAAACAAAAGTTGATAAATAAAAAAAAAAGTAAATAATAATTATAAAATGTCAAAACATGCTTTAAAAATCCATGCGATAAGAATTAAAAAAATGTTATAAATATGCAAATGTATTGTAATGTAGATAGTGATATTATGTTATATATATATACTTCCGATTGATCGCTCGATGGCCTAAGCATTCTGGGGAGAGACGACGTAAATGAAACAAGAGCGAGTCGTGAGCAACATTGACAGGAGCAATGAAAGTGGTAAAAACTCATAGAGGTTTATGTTTTTTTTTTTTTTTAAGTTTCATCCCTAAATTTTTGATTGAAGTTAGGAAAACAAGACAATCTTCAAACAAAAGAAAAAAATGTATGGAACTGATTTTTTATGACACGTTTCTTCCTGAAAATCACTATAAAACCAAAGAAGAAGGATTATGGATTAAAAACTTGTGAATAATAAAAATATTAAAAATGATAAAGACGATACAAACATTGAAATGTAAAATATAAATTTCAGCATGATTGTTTATTTCACTTGTAAAGAAAAATATTATCAAAGTTATTCGATTATCATACATGTAAATGATAAATCTTAAACTTGGTTTTTGAGCTCAAAAATTATTTTTTGGCCAAAAATGGAGCAAACGTTTTTTGATTCTGTAAAATTAACCATATTTCCGAAAATTTTGGTCAACTGTCTGAATCAATCAAGCCTATAAATAATTACTGAGCTCTCGGTAACGAAATATCAAAGTAATAGAAATCGAAACGTTGATGTTTGCACAACAAAACAGTTGAAATTTTATGATACGATTATAAAAGTATAATAAACTAAATGTCTCGCTGTAGAAACATTCAACGAGTTTACCAAGTACTTTCGATCGATTGTAACAGTTGGTATAATAAAAAATACGTAACAATGACAGTGAAGATAAAACCAATCGTCTGTCATGACAAGTAACTGTCGGAACACCGGGAAAACATAAAGGATAAGATCATCCGAACCGTTACATATTACGTAATATATAATCGATCATTGAAAAAAAATCCAACTTTGAGATCACGAAATGAAAACCAGTTATAAACAAAAAATCTGACGAATCATGGATCAATTGAAACAAAAGTCATGAGAAAAAAAAAAGAAAATGTAAAAACAAAAAAAAAAGACAAGAGGAGGTAATATCAAGTTTGTAGTCGAGAAAAAATAAGCAGAGACAGTGTCACGAAACTACACAGCGCACACAGCAAGCGATCTGATTGGATATAAACCTTCTTTCCAACTGTTGGACGGTCCCTCACCTGGCGCCTGATCGGATATCTGGTTCGTGAATTTGGCCCGCAACATTTTAAGCACATCGAGCAGGCTGCGCTTTATCCATGCGATGAACCGGCTTATCCGATCGATGGCCTCGGCGATCTTGTTGGTCTCGCTGTCCGCTGTCGGGGCGGACAGATTACTACTGCCGAAATTTGAGAGCAGAAGCGCCAAGAATAAATTAAGAACCTATTTCGGAACAGAAAGAAACCCTTTTAGGATCATGAAAGTTAAAAAAGATTTAAAAAGTGTTAAGAAATTCGTGGAGTTATGTAAGTTTTTGCGTATTGCCCCATAATGGCCAATTTGAATTTCCCGCCAGTTGGGAACACCGGTCCGAGCTCAGCTTTTCGCGGAATTTTCGCCTCCTCAAATTTTCGTCAACGAGCAAAAGCGACAAGAGCGCGCACTGTCGAACAGGCGAAAAGATCTTGCCCTCACTGTCGACAGCCATGGGAGTGGTGTATGCCATACCATGCCTGGATTGTAATCTCGTTTACTTCGGTCAGATGAAACATCCGTTGCGAGAAAGAGCCATGAATCATATGCGGGATTTGGACAACGCCGCGAAAACGCGTTCGGATAATGACGAGAATATTTTACAAACGTACTCCCTTCCGCGCCACGTTCAGACTACGGGGCACAAACTGGATTTTCACAATTCCAAGGTAATCGTGGAAGTGCCGGACGAGACAGATCGTTTAATCGCGGAAACGTACTTTATAACGAATGTCAAGAATGTTGTGAACGAACATCCGTCAACCGTTGTATCCCCCATGGAGATGGTTAAAGTTGTCGAAAAATATAATCTTTCTACAAAACTCTAATGAGAGAACAATTTTTACTTTGTTTTACGTAGATTTGTAAGAAAAATTAATCTTTATACGAGTGCATAATATGTTCTTTAAAACGATCGAAATGAAATATTTACACGGATAATCGAAAACGTAATTGTGATTGGAACTGCGATGGTCTCCGGTTTTAGGGAAGCGCAGTGTAAAATTGTTTTTGTATTTTTTGTCATCTCATAAAAAGATAAAAGTTGTCTAATTGCGTATTTTTTTTTTTTTTTTTTTTTTAAGTTTCATCCCTAAATTTTTGATTGAAGTTAGGAAAACAAGACAATCTTCAAACAAAAGAAAAAAATGTATGGNAGGGAAGCGCAGTGTAAAATTGTTTTTGTATTTTTTGTCATCTCATAAAAAGATAAAAGTTGTCTAATTGCGTATTTTTTTTTTTTTTTTTTTTTTTACATTGTAACCCAAGCATAACGCTAATCACGCAATATAGGTGTACGTTTTTTCAACATGTAACAAAGATAAGTATATAATTAAATACTATACGTACGACCAAATTGCCGATGACGACGGTCGCAAGGAAAAAGGGTATGCACGAGACGTCGCCCACGTGCATGCAGTCCCACATAGATTCGATCCATTCGCCGCACAACACTCGAAAGACGATCATGAACGAGTGCATGAAATCTGTAAAGTTCCAGCGAGGCAGTTCACCTCCGGGAAACCGGTCCACGTTGTCGGTGTAATTTTTTCCAAAAAGTTGCATGCCCATCACAGCGAATATGAAGATGATGATGCAGAGGACGAAGGTCAGGTTGCCAAGGGCTCCTACCGTTCGGCCCATTATAGAGATCAGCAGATTCAGCGTTGGCCACGACTTTGCCAGTTTGAACACACGGAGCTGCAAGCGATTTTTCTCGTTATCACATTCGTAAGATTGATGAATGCACATTGAGTACTCACCAATCGGAATGATCTCAGGACCGAGAGGCCTTGGACGCCCTCGAGACCGAGTTCGAGCAGTGACAGCGCTACGATGATGAAGTCGAATATGTTCCAGCCTTCTTGGAAGTAGTACTTTGGACTCATGGCTATGAGCTTCATGGTGGCCTCGATGGCAAACGTCGCGGTGAAGAACTGCAAGTGAGCAGTTGGTTCGTAAGTATATAATTATCTCGAAAAAGTGTAACTCGATCGTGATCGAGAGCAAAATAGCTCGGTCCTCCTCGTGAGTACCATCAACAAGTGCAACAAGAGTCGTTGATGTCTTTTATACTCGCGAGTGCAGTGAAAAAAAAAAAAAAAAAAAAAAAAAATGCTCAGCAATTGGTGTGCACAAGTGCTTACGTAGTTTCCGGACTTGAGGATCTTCTCCATCTCCTTGTCCATGTCGTGGTGATCGAGGGCCATGAAGAGGGTGTTGACGACGATGCAGAGCGTGATGAAGAGCTCGACGAACGGATCAAAGACCACGAGTGCTATGTATTCCTGAAACTTGAGCCAAACCCAGCAGCAATCCCAGACGCAAAATATATCGATGCAGCGCAACAGCGCGGCCAGGGCTTTCTCTTTGAAGGTCGGGCCCTCCTCATCGTCGTCTGTTGGAAAGTAATAGATCGACACTGTGTAGACTGCAGGTTAGTAAAACTCGAGAATGACACCACTCTTTTTTGGGGAAAAGAGTTTTTTCTTCTATTGTTATTTTCATTCTTTTTAGATAACATAATGAAGTTGATGCTTTGGTTCGCCAAGATTTGGAGATTGACGATTATGGATAAGCTGGACGTTTTTTTGGTAAATCGAGGATTAAGGAATTCAAAGGGGATATACGCGTAACATCTTTGAAGAAGCGATTCGTGGACGTGGGAGATTAATGTTCATATTTGTCATAAGTATAGTTTTTTTTTTTTTTTTTGTCTTGTTTAGTCTGTTTTTGACAATTGATAAAAGCTGAGTGTTGAAGGTAAAGACATGTTAATTAACGATTTCTACGAATAGGCTGTTACATTGCAGTAATTAAAATATTTAATTATTAAATTGCTACAGGTTACGTTACTCCAGTTTTTAGTTTTCGAGGCAAAGTTCAATAATTTACCAATGCTTGTCAGTTATTTATTAACATGGCTTTACATTCTACAAATAAACAACTAACTATGATATTGAACAACATTTGTATTGTTTTTCATCAAATTGAAGTATATATGTACTGATTGATTTCAGTTGAGAAACATGTGGTAATTTGTCGTGAAATGTAATTCGTGTAAGTTATTGTGTTTTTTTGAAAAAAAAAAAAATTGTAAAAAAATTAAGTTGCTAATTATTGCAGAACAATAAAACGTGAAACTTTTCGAAAACCGATCAATTTGTTTGATAAACAAAGCGTGCAGAAAACTTCTTTTGAATAACGGATAATATATCGAATCCAATAAAGAATAAATGGTCAAAGCGTGCAATACTATTAGTTTTCCCGCGTTTTGAAGAATATTTTCTTGGATTAGTGCAATTCTTTGTTATATAATACTATGCAAAACAATGTTTTTAATTCAAAGGGCAGCTTGAATGCAACGAAAAATTCTTTCAAGTGCGAAAAATAAGCGTGCCATGCAGATTCAGTCAAAGCCAAGCCCCAGTGTTTAATAATAATAGTTAGCATACACTAGGAACGACGAAACAACAAAATGCTAAATTGAATAAACATCATCAGCAACTGATGAAAAAATAGAAAAAAAAATACGAGCAATGAGTAGTAGTGATGTTGATGATGCGTTTGAATCGAGTATGTACAATAAAATGTAATGGTCGAAGGATGAGTTAAATGTGATATAGTTTAAACAGCAAATTATGGATGATGAGGCAGATGAGGATGGCGGTGAAGACGATGATGAAGAATAAACTTTAGCATCACACAAGAAAAAAAACTCCGATTTCCCCAAAAAATACAAACACCCATTCGATTTTTACGTTGCACAAAGGCGCACACATAATATAATATATGTACATACGCACTAATCACCATACAGTAAAACTGTGATTATAACTTCCATGATTATAACCAAAGTCGAAATACAATTTGTTTTAATTCTAAGTCTAATTTATAGTTACAAATAATTTGATGAGTAATTTTTATAAATGTATCGTAATCTAATCCACTAGATAGTTCTAATTCTAATGTTTATTTGATCCAAGTTTTTACATTACAACTTTGCCCTTGGTTCTTTTTTATTTTAAAAGAAACAAATAGAAAAAAAAAAGAAATAGTTACAGCAATCGACGCTTACATTCTATCGACAATCAATATAATTTACAGATTGAATTTATCGAGCAGTAAAATTAATAATCTCAAAAAATGCTCATCACGATGGAAAAATTGCCAACACTACAGTAACCGCAAACAACTGACAAAAAAAAAAAAAAGAAAAAAAATTATAACTCAAATATGCTTTGTAATATATATATAAATAATACGTATCACCTTTTTTGGTACAAGCAACAAAGAAACCATTTGGATTCAATAAACGATAATCACAAAATTAATTTTTAAAAAATAATAAAAATTACACTCTAACAACAGTGTTGCAAAAGTTATAATTAGTCAAGTGCTCCTTTTTATCATTAAAAAAATTGTCAACTATANATATATAAATAATACGTATCACCAATCAAACGAAATTGACTTTCATATTCGTGTAATACGAGGAAAAATATAAATTTACATGGTTACAGTAAAAACACATTGAAAAAATTAGTGAGCCTGTGTGTCGTGTACGTGTGCAAGATTAAAACTGTCATGTATGGGTAGTTTTGTTAAGGGGACGTCTGTCGGAGGGTGTCTAATTTTACCTCCTTGATCCGATGTTCGACTTTGCCGACCAGCAGCTTGCTCGATGATGTCATTCAACACCAGAACATCTAAAAAAAAAAAAAAAAAACATTTGACTTTTACTATGAATTTTCATGGAATAAACAAATAAACGACCAAACCTTTCATATCGACGACGGGCTGTTGCTGCGTGGGTTCTATAAACGGATTGTCCTGCTGCTTAACTTTGCCAAGCGGATCGTCCGTATCGCCCTCCTGCAGATAAACAAACAAAACAAAAACAATAACCCCATGAAAGGCTCCATTCCGAAATGCAAAGTGGAAAAAATAAACTAAAAATAGAAAAACCCGACTAACGTAATGGTGCTTCTGGTAACTGTCAGCTGTGGTGACCGAGTGGCCATTGACGGAGGGCGGTCTGGCGGACCTGCTGCGCAACCTGCTCTCCTTGGTTGCGCCGGGACCACCGAGGAGGTCGCCGTGCGAGGTGTACGAGAGCCTCGAGGCGTGAGATGTGTAGGACGAGTGCCTCGAGCCGAGGCTGGTGTAGTAGACGGGCACGATGATGGCCCCGTTCTCCTCGGACAGGGGCGTCACGGCGTTCGAGTCGTCCGCGTAAGGCAGGTGCTCCTGGGCGTCCTGGTACGTCGACAGGACCAGGGGCTTGCGATCCCCACCCGGTGGGCCCACGAACCGGCCCCGGCCGTTGCGTATCGTGAACTGGTGACTGCCCCGGCTGCCCCGTCGGATGTTGAACGGACTGCCCGGTAGGCTAAGGCTGGCCTGCGAACACTGGTTTTTCGATGAGGTATTTTTTTTTTCTTTTTTTTTTTTTGTGGGGGCTTACATTCCACTGCGAATGAATCCTTTGGAGAGCGGGTCCCTTGGCTACTTACTATGTTTTTTTAAACTAATCTCGAATCAAATGGCTACTTTGAGGATCATACGATGGATTACTGTTTGCGATTTAGATTAAATGATGATGATTCGCTTTGAATGTGAAATTTAACTTTCTGGTGGACACTCCGAGTGACAAATGGATCTCGATGTGGATGAAATTCGTCTCCAAAGGATTTTTCGCTGGTTTGAAGGCGTTTTTTTTTTTTTTTTTTTTTTCGTTTTGTACGTAACTCATTCAGATGTANTTTTATTTACATGGATTTTCAGTTTGTTTTTAGTATGAATATAATTAATAATAAAAAAAAAATTATTGCACAGCAAAGCTAAAAATTTTAAGAAGCAGTTGTGAAAATTTAATGTAAAGAATGTTTGTTTATTAGCTAAGCTACTACATGTCTAGGAAACTGGTTCGGCTACTATTTACATTGATTCGCTGTTATTAGTTCACTGAAATTCACATCTCTTAAGTACTAAAATGTTTTTATCTTCAGTTCATATTTATGTAGGTATATTCGTGTCAAACAATATTGCCATGTTCTGAGTTTTATCGTCCCTCGAATCAACTTTTACATAATCATAATGTAAATCACGTAAATAATGAGTTAAAAAACATTTATTTATCACGAATCGATGTTAAAAGCTTTTTTTTTATTCAAGTAAAATATAATTATCAACTCATATTTTCAAGTATACCCAAATGAAAAGAAAACATGATTAAGTAATGATTGATAGTCGAAAGGCATGAAAAGAAGCGCGTGTACGTATACACACACTCGTAGAAGGATCTTTAGTCTGTGCAAACACAACGCTAGTAAGTACACACTTATGATGTACACACATGTATAATATATACAGCGTCGTACTGTCTGTGACAAAAAGTGAGAGACACCGAATTTGTATTCCACGTACCTCTTTCAGGCTATCCTGGTAGGCATAAGTAAACTGGCCATTAGCGGCGCGAGCGACCTTAGGAAAAAAAAGAACAAGAAAAAAGACATCTCCTACCGGATCTTTTGTATAAAAACTTTATGATCTCGATTTTTATTTTTTTGCTTTCTCGAGTCAAGTTTTTTTTTTTTTTTTTTTTTACTTTTTACTGCAAGCATTAAACTTTGAGTTTCTTATAAATCTTTTGATAAACAATAAAAACAACAACGTTGGACAATAACGTACGTAAAAAGATACATCACATAATCTGGCAGGAATGCTCGACACATAAAACATAGTTGTACGACGAAACAAGTACAATTAGACCAAAGAGATACATTTCTTGGCATACTCCAAAAAAAAAAAAAAAAAAAAAAAAAAAAAAAAAAAAATGAAATAAAAACGACGAGATACAACAGATGTGTGGAAACAGAGTAAGAGCAATCATAATTTTTCGATTGCTTTGCTGACGTATACGCCTTTTTACACCTTAATCAACAAAGAACATGACTTTTCAAGAGTTTTTTCATGCAAGAGTTACAAACGAAATACTATTTTATTAAAAAATGTAGGTAGAGGTACGTTTACTTATGTATTAATTTGTTTTTAACTAAATACGTGCAGTTACTTTCAAACAATTTTTTTGTCCTTTGGGTGTAGCACACAATTTTTACATATTTTTATGTTTAATGTGTTGGAGATTCTACAAAAACTCATATTCAAAATTTCCCAAGTAATAAGTTAGGTGTAAGCAATTTTTTCGCTTTTTACAGCTTTTACTGCGTTATACTATTATCTGGAAATTGAATGGATTTTTTTTTCCTTTAGTGAAATTTGGAAATTTAACAATACAGTTTAAAATATTGTTCATTTATTTATTATCAAAATTTTGAGTGTACGCGACACAAGAGCTCTCTAATTCAAGACGAATCCACGCTCGGAAAAATAATAACACCTAATATTCAAAAGTGCAATCCTCGAGGAACAAAATGCGAAAGAGGCCTCGGTCATTGCAATGCCCAGTACCAAAGTACTCGAGTACTGCGAAAGAAAAAAATATATTACATGACACATCCGAGCCGATACCCCCGCTACTTTGAATATTACGCCGTGCACCTATAAATACATATATAATACGTGTGCACAGTTGCTGCCGCCGCCGTCTGACCATTGACCGACTTTATCTACTGCTCTCTCTCTCTCTCTCTCTCTCTCTGCTCCGATTCGAAGCTGCTACTTTGAAATATTAAACGAGACCGTAATTTATTATTTCGCTCGGCGATATATATCTTTTTCGATGAATTATTGTTATTTATACCTCTTGTTTCCCTCGCTTGGTGGCGCGCTAATAATTGAAATACTCATTTCGCGTTCTTGTCTTTTTTTTTCATAACATGCCGCGATGAAAAAAAAAAAAGTATACGAAAATCACACTTTCGAGCGCTGCACGATTAACCTCGATGATAAATGGTGGTAAGCCTTGATTTACGAAGCTTATTTTACTTTTGCAATCAAACGTGTGTGAAAATCCGTCGTCGCACGCAGCTGTACGTAATACCAGTCGAAACTCCAAAACAAGGTTTTTTCCTTCGCTCGCGTGATTTTGACCATCACTGTACGTATGTAACATGTTAGTATCGCGTGGAAAAATTTTTTCCCAACTTCCATCGATAGAGTTAACATGTGTGGTTAATTTACACTTGGATTGGCCAGTAATTTATTTCGGAAGACCCTCGCTACCCGAACGTCAGTGTAAGCGTGAAATTAGCCTTGAGTTTTTCCGAACGATAAAAAAAAAAAAAAAATACCTTTCGCAACGCAACGCGACGATGATGTATACATCCGACATAAAAAAACTCACTCACTACGGTAGTTTTTCTTGATCTCCTTCTTCAAAAGCTCTACCAGAGCCATATATGTGTGCGAGAGCTCGCAAGCAGCATCATCGAGTGCTATCGAGTATACGTGTAGATACGTAGAGCGAAAATACGGGGAAAAAAAAATAAAAATACACGTATATACATGAAATACGGCAACGGCAACGCCGATCGATCGACTCTCGAGTGCAGGTGTAGGTATACATAAATATATAAGGGCTCGCAGTGGCTACAATTACGGAGCTCCGGGGCGGTGCAATTTACTTGAGCTTTGCGAGCGAGCCCTGCTCTTGCCCTAACTCTTGCACGCGTCTAAGGGAACACAAACTCTCGGCCATGCGCGCCCTCGGTAGATTTCATTTAACCGGGGGTGGAAAATTTGTGCTTTTACATCCCGTTTGAAGTACTCCTATACCGCGGACGCTTTGAGACCCCTTTGTAACTTATGCGCGGAACGATTGTATTTTTCTTTTTTTTCTCGTCAATCAAACATGAGTTTAAAAATTAAAAAAAAAGTGTTGGCAAATAGTAAAAGCACCGCATCGAGAAGAGCAGCAGCTTGACACATTTTACCCGGCGAAAGTAAATTCATTAGATCTGCGTGCGAGCCTTGAATCTTGGTCCGTTTGTTTGTTTGTTTGCTCCTTTGTTAGCTCCCGGCCATTCATCGTGGCTCGAGAGCTGATACGTATACATTCGTAGCATGTACGGGTGTAACATACACGTGCAGTATATGGCGAAAAAACGAGTGCTTTTAGCGTAATTGGTTGTGTGGACTTTGGACCGTTTTTCAGTTTTCGTACTCGTTTGTTTCATTTGTGTCGTGTGCTGCTCAACGGGCAACTAAAAACCAAGTGCTTTGCAACGTTTGTGAAGATGTACCTGCTTGTGTACTATATACGTCGAGAAGAAGAGAGAAGTAGGTTCGTGATGTGTTGATTGAATAATACGCATGCCGATGGGCAGAGAAAAAAAAATATATATATATATTGTGTTTGACTACGGCATAGATTCACGTGTGAGTGCGGATGAGCTGTAACTTTCAACATTGGGGGAAAATAATAGCAGGCAACCATAAGCAAAAGCCAAATGAACAGACGATGTGACTTACGGCGCTGACTTTGCGGACTTTGGTGGTAGTGGACGAGCTGACGTTGTAGTTGTTGCCGGATATTTTGACCCTGTGCTCGCTGATGGACTCGACCGAGCGGATGCTCATGCGTTCCTTGTTGTTGTCGTCGTTGCCCTTTTCCTGGCCGACGAACAGCTCGTAGCTGTGGCAGGAAAAGTCCGAGGGCGACTTGACGATGCCGCTCGCGGCCACGGCGGCCGCCGCTCGAGCCTCCGCCTGGTCGGCCAACTTTTTCTCCTTCGCCAGCACCGCCTCCTCTGCTTCCTGGGGTTTTTTTTTTTTAATTTACAACAACTAGCTTTTTTCGATCTTTGGGCCAGAGTATTTCAATTACCCACGAACAATAATTAATGCGCGGATCCTAGAGGTGAGTTTATGAATAGGGGAGAGGTAAATTAAGAACCGTTTGGTGTCGTATTCCACGTTAGAGTGGGGGAAAAAAAAAAAAAAGAAATCAGTACGCAAAAACTTACCCTGATTGCCTGTTCTTCGGCCAACTCCTCCTCCTCGGCCTTCTTTTGCAACTCGTCGTACGACATCGCGACAATGGCGAGAATCAAGTTGACGAGGTAGAACGAGCCGAGGAATATGATGACGATGAAGAAGAGCATGTGCCAGGGCCCGGCAGATCTGAGTACCAGCTGGTAAAGGTTTTCCCAGTAATCCTGGGTCATCAGTCTAAAGGCGGACAAAAACGCCCAGCCGAAGGTGTCGAAGCTCGTGTACCCGTAGTTCGGATTGCCCCCGTAGCCTTGCAAGCACGTGTGATCCGGTGGACATTGCCTGGACACAAGAAACGATGAGGATCATTTTCGTTTTCGCTTCCGTTTACCAACAATTTGCATATTTGACATCGTGATGTTTTGACATGCGACACGTGGTTGTTTTGTTATTTTGACGAAAGTGTGCATAGCTTACCCAGCTCCGGACGAATTCCCGCACAGTGGATAATTTCCCGCGTCGTCCTTGCCATACCAATTAGCTGGATGGAATGCAAAATCATGGTCAATGTGTACCTTTTCGTAAACCTTGTTTAATTTTTTCATATTTAAATTAAAATAAGTTTTTTCAATTCGAATTCTTGAATTATTAGGGGCTGTGTATTTCTTATTTTGTATGGATGTAAATAAACTTTTTTTTATCAACGAGAGATGGAGTGTTTTTGTCATGATACCAATAAGATAAGTTTTTAAAATCTCAATCGAGAGGAAGTACAGCTGTGGAAATGGTAATAAATTGCCTACAAATATTATTTGGAAATGATGGTGTCGACTACTCACTTTCGTTACTGACAAATCTCTCCCAGTTCTCGTGGGTGCGATTACCCCATGAGCCGTCCTCGGGAAAATTCTTTATACACTTTTGCGTGAGCACCCCCATGTAAATCTGAAGGCCCATCAGCGCAAAGACGGAGAGGGAGAACATCGTTAGGATTATCACATCGCGTAGATTTTTCACTGACTCTATCACAGCACCGACAATAGTTTTGAGACCTTAAACAGAGCGAAATCAGCATGATGAGATGCCAACGTTACCACTGGATGGCATTGTTTTCTTTTTTTTTCCAACTCTTTGTGTTGAATTGATAAACGAGGCGAAATAATCAAAAGTCATTCGGAGCTGCGGATATCCTGCCTAATGTTTCATCGCGTTCGATGATTATGATGTTTATTAATTTATTTTGGTCTTAGTTTGCAAATCTGTATTGTATTTATTGAAATGTGCAATTTAAAATGGAAAGGAAGAAAAAGTTTTTACTGTTACATTTGTTAACTTTTAGTATTGTCATTGTTTTAAGAAAGCGATTAATCGAAATTTTCACAATGTAATTGAAAGTCCTCAGTCGTTAAACATACAAACCTTAAAAAAATTATCGACTGCAATGAAGTTGACAAGTTAGATTTACATTGTTTCTGAGTGTACCTAACAATTGTTATATTATTTCGTGGACCAAATGTTGTTCACTAAGTGTATACACATAGAAAAGTGTGCAAAATAAAAAAAAAAAAATTACAATTTAATCGTCAAAGATAAAAAATAAAACAAAACTTTTAATAAAGACATTTATATAGTTGTTTCAACGGCAAAGATCTATAGCTATGCCACTACTTTTTTTTTACTCAACCCCTTGATTATGGATTTTCATTTTTTTGTAGCGATATTTTTATCATTTTATATCTTTTGTTTATTTAAAACAATGGCTGTCTTAAAATTAAAAAAAAATTGGATTGGATTGGAAAAATATCCATGACCAGAGGGTTGCATTTCTATTTGTTTATTCTCTAATCTCTAAAGCATACCTGGTACAATAGCGACAGTCTTCAAGGCTCGGAGGACTCGAAATGTCCTGAGAGCGGCAAGGTTGCCTAGATCTATTCCCATCGTCACATAACTGCAATACACCCGAACATAACACACACATTACAGTGGTCAAAGAGGATACAGAGGAGTAGTAATAGAAATTNCCTTAGTTAGTAAGTATAGAAAGTGTGAATTATATATATTTTTTTCAATTTCAAAATATAGCCGATTCCATACGAAGCGTGTGAGTTGATAAATTGTTAGTATTACAAAAGTTGAGAAAGTAATCAATTATATGCATGACTTTAACAGTTAGTGGCTTATCGAGATAAAAAAAAAGATTTATCAAAGTAGTGTGAGTTACTTCGGAATATTTTGATAGTAATAAAGTATGATTAATTAAGTATCAAAATAAGCATATAAATTATGTTAAATTAGTATGACGTGGTATCAAGCAAGTGTGAAACTTTAATAAGTTACGTCGAAAAAATATTTTCTTCGTATTTAATTAAAAATAAGCAGACCTGTCCAAAACCGAGATTGAAATGCAGACACTAATGTCCTAGTTTATTTTAAATTGTTTAATTTTTTCCAACTTAGTGCATCTAGATGTTTCAATTCCAACTGAAATAAAACTTTTTTGAACCCGAATCAAATCAATCATCCATCCAATTCGTTAAGCTTATTTATAATAATAATTAAAAAAAAAGAACTCAAGACTATTTGATCAATTGATAATCAATTTAGTATATATATTGAAGTTCGTTGGCCAACGAAGCGGTTAAAATCAAACGGATCAAAAAGATAAATTTAGAACTCTCAAATAAAAAAATAAGTGTAACTATATTAAGGTTTTTTTTTTTCAAGTATCTATGATACATAAATAGTACTAAAAACTACTTTAATTTGTTCAAACGTATGTAGCTTCAAGCTTGCATGTCGATAATTTCGAGAAAGACAAGTTTAATTTCTCTGTTACGTATGTAGGTGAAACTGGCATACGAATGAACGGGTACTTCAATTTTTACTGTATCTGTTGTAACTATTCTAGTAAAATACTGTAAACATACGACGGTCATAAGAAAATACTGTAAAACATTATGAGTATGAATATATACTGTCTATTGTGAACTAAATTTGTATAGTATATCATTAAACTATGATCGTGTCGATCGATGTACTTATATATGTATGGTTTCTATGGTTGATCGTAACACGGGCAGAGCATTTTTTTCTCTGTCCGTTTGCACGTAGCTTTCGTCTACGTGTGTCAGCGCTGACTTACAACTACTGTTAATGAATAGTATACACACGACGCAGTTATCACGTGCGCGTTTGGGGGGCGAAGTTGCCCAGCGATTGGAGAAACTGATCAATTTGAATTTATGACGTAATCATGTAATGTACGGTTGTAGTAGTGGTGTATAACAACACAAGAACAAATTTTGTACGAGATGGAAATAAGTGGATTTTTTAGTTACCGGAAAGAACAAGCCAAGTCGACGTGGGATAGCTGGGGTAGTTACTAATTTACCAACTGGTTACGCAATTCCTTGTATTGATTAAAAAAATAATGTCAATTTTTGCTACGCCTATTTTTTTTTTTTTTTTTTTTTTTTTTTTATAAGAAGCTTTTTTCATCAAAAGTCGTATAGTCGAGAGAAACGGGGACGAACACGAGATGCCGAGCTCGCTGTCTGCCGTATACACGCCTTTTTTTATCTTTGTTCAGTGTACGCAGTAGCCCTTTGCATGTGTGCGCTGTACCCGGCATTTTGTGAAAAGCTAAGGCTGGTAAAACACTCGAGGTCGAGCGGACAGCAAGAGATTTGGAATTTTTTTTTTTCCTTAAAAAAAAAAAAAAAAAAATTGATAGCAGATCAATGAAAAATAGTCAAACAAAATAATACACTCCGTCGATCTAACTAATGACAGACATGTAATAATAACGTTTCACATTTAAACGTAACAAGTATAATAGAAAAAATATTTGTTGATATCATACACTCTGATCTCGAGAGAGTGTGTCTGTGTGTTATCCTTTCGACACTCCGATTATACGCTACGTTATATGCGGAGAGGGGGGAAGGAGAGCTCCGTCAGTTCTAGTTCGGTAAAATTATCAATTAGACAGTAAATATCAGTAGTGGTGGTATAGTTTATTTAAATGATTATTCATGATGACAATGATGATGATTGCGATATTTATATAGCATTGAAAAATATAAAATATTAACTTTTACAATGAAAAAAGTTAAATGAAGTCTCTCGCACTTGAAGTGCACGTGGTGTGAGAGTGTGTTGTTCGACAAAACGTATATACAATGGCGTTACAAGCCGTAATCCAAAAATACTAATACTCGACAGTCGCTGAGTTTCGTTGAAAAATGTTTTATTGTCGATAAGTGAATCAAGAGCGAGAGTCGAGATTTGATAATAGATCGGTAAATATATCGTTTGTACAAATATATACGTATAACAATATTTTGTGATCACGTAATATTATACGTATGATTCGAAGAAAATAGTTGATATAAATATGTAAGTACTCACGCTAAAGCTATAACTACGAAGTCGAGCCAATTCCATGCGTCCCTAAGATAGGTAAAAGGCTGCAAAATGAAACCCCTCGCCATCACCTTAACGGCGGACTCGAATGTGTAGATGCCCGTAAATATGACTCTGAAACCACACGAAGCCAGGAATAAATATACATTACGTAACGAGTACGTGATCAGTCATGGCTGCACTTTATTTATTCGTTTTTTTTTTTTTGTTTTTTTTCCCCCAATATGCAGCACACGTACACCATTTACCCATCGGTATGCCGCACGTGACCAACACGTCTGGAGAGCTTTGGAACTTGTAAATAATACACGCGCAGATACTTACTCCCATAAAATATGCCAGAACTCTATATACACCTGAAATGTATGCGAAACTTTTTTCTTATTTTTTCACTCGAAAATTTATATTTTTAATCCACAGCGCAGTAAAGTTCGTTGACCCACGAAGCGGTTAAAATCAAACGGATCAAAAAGATAAATTTATTTTTGGCCATCAGTAGCAACGCCGTACTCGCCGATCGATACAACGTCCATCATCGTTACCCAACGTAAATTTATCCGGCACAGGTAAGAATTGATATTAATTACACGTCAAAGGGAAGGGATTGTCGTGACGTTATAGTTTTGAATTATTAATCCGCGAATAAACAGGCGGTTCTACCAACGTATACATGTGTGTGTATCGAGCGAGTTTTTGCTCCGTCACTCCTGGGGCTACACGAAAAAAGAGAAAACAAAAGCTCTTTGTGTCGTTAATGTATTTATACTCTAGGCGAAACGATCGCGTTGGTAATGAAAAAAGACAAGGGTGCTCGTTGGACGCGACGAAAATTAAGCCGGTTGGATAAAGATTACGGGGGAAAAGTAGAGCAAACGCGCCTTTTCTTTCTTTTACATCACAATCACGCAGTCATTATTAATTTCCTGAACAGACCGCCGCTTCGACATCGTCTTGCAGATATATATACGAAAATGTGCCCATACATTAATATAGTAAAGCGAGAAAAAGTATATACTCACTCGGTGGATTCGACGGTGGGCGTCGTGGGCATGATCATGAGTATGCAGTTAACCAAAATGGTAGTAATGATGAAGAGAGAGAAAAGGGGATGGACCAGTATGTAGATGGCCACCCGCCTGATTGGATTAAAGGGATCGAGGAACCACAGGGCGTCCGTCGCGGAGAACCTGAATATGTCCTTGCCCTTGCTGATGACCACGAATGTCTGGAATGGATAAAGGCGCGGTATTAACAATTGAAGCTGTGGTGTGCATCATCTCTCGATTGACACCCAATTGGTGGTACACCTATGGTTTTATCAATCAATGCGAGCGTATCTCGGGTAAATTCGGCCTCAGATGTAAAAATAAAAATACGCAAACTACAATACTCTCCTTATATATTTAATACCAAGGTAGTAGCGTTGATCGATTGCTGTGAACCTTATATATGTATATATACATATGTACATATACAGTGACGACTCGCAAAAGTAACGTGTGTACGGCCAATTTGTGTGCTTCAAGGCTGATGAGAATTACACGCGCACCCCGTGTTTTTATTCGTATGGGTTTGCATGTACGCAGCGGACAATCAAAATGTATTTTCCAATGCATATACATATATACGACNTTTTTTTTTTTTCTTTACAATAATAATACAGTGAAATTTGTAGTCTTCTACAAGGTTTGGAGTTTAAAAGTATGATGCTATGGTGTATGTTACAGTGAAAATGAACGATGACTGTGCGCGATTATTACAACAACAACAAATATGTGTACAAGTACTCTAGATAGTTTTATGAATTTTAATGTACCAAAGTTTACTGTTGGTTATAATTTACAACCATACAATATTAATAGTAATACAATTTTAGAAAAATAAAAGTACAAAATTTTTATCAATCAATTTATCCTTAAAAAACTCCATTAATAAAAATAAATAAATTCAAAATACTACAGTATTATTCCAAATTAAAAAAAAAAAAGTGTGTGAAACTGCACGTACCTATATTGGATGTAAATATATAGCAGATAAAACAAGTTGGCTTCAAAAATAGGTAGGGAAAGTGCGATAAAAAAAAATGATAAAAAAAGATCCATTTCAGGTGTATAATCAGCGAATGAGAGTTATTAATCTTTGTATTGTAGTCTGTTATAATGCCACGGAGCAGCACAACTTCGCCTCGCAAATGCGCGCACACTCGGCGTTAGCGCCCCGTTAAAATAATGTCAATGAAGACTTGGTGGTGTTATTATCACTGAAGTCTGATACTGCTATGACTGTTTTTTCTCTTTTTGCTCGTGGCAAAAGTGAACATGTAGGAATAACCGCATCGAGAAAATAATCACAATTATACAATAG